CGTGCAGTGATTAAGTGGCAGAAACCTAGCCGAGTGATCAGGACAGGGTAGTAATTAACCAACTCAGTATCTCCTATAAAAAGGTTAGTGAGAGGCGGAAGGCAACGATCAGAAAGAAAGGCCACAGGGCCTGAAGCAGGGTCACCTTATGTACCCACACTGCACTGTTTTACTGCAGGTTCAGCAGGGCACGTTTACTTATGGTAAGTGTGCAAGATTAGGAAAAGCCGGTATCTTATACTCAACTTCATGTCTGGTAACTGTATCACCTTACCCTCTAATAGAGCAGTTCTCAACCTGGGGGGTCGTGACCCCCATGGGGGTCTCACATCAGAGATCCTGCATATCAGGCATTTACATTACGATTCATAACAGTAGCAAAATTACAGTTATGAAGTAGCAATGAAAAGGGTTTTATGGTTGGGGGTTACCACAACACGAGACACTGTATTAAAGGGTCGCAGCATCAGGAATGTCGAGAACCACTGCTCTAAAACAAACACATAACCTGCTGGCCACCTAGTTATCTACTCCTGTAACCCAGTCAACCTTGCCAAATTATTATCTTAAAGCATTTAACTCTCCATACTTATTGAACAAACTCTGAAGCCAACATTATGGCCACTGATGGGACAACCTGAACCGCTCCCTAGAGCCTGGCTTGGGGAGCGGGCAGAAAACAGGTTTACTGAGTATACAGCAAGAGGCAGCGGGCTCAGCTTCCTCCCCTGGGTCTCCATTCCATGGTCTCATAACTGAATCCTGGACAGCTGTGACAAATTGGGCCAGAGTCAAGGGTTCATGAATGAACAAACACCCAAAATTAATTCCAAAATCAAACACCTACTTCATTAGAAAGCTCAGGCTAATGAAGACATTGTCTAAAAAAAAAGTAGATATGGCACCCAAGTTCTATCCTCTGCTCCACATGCCAAAACACACACACACACACACACACACACACACACACACACACACACACACACTCACACTCACACTCACACACACACACACACACACCAGTAAATGAATTCTGATTTGGGATTAGAACAGAACATCTGAGTTTCTTAAATGGCCCTAAACACACTTCTGCTGTTTCACACTACATGTTTATGTGAAGCAGTTCCCACCATACTCAGAAAATCAAAACATCAATCCTGCTGACCTCCAGAAGGAAGCAAAGCCAAGAATGGTGGTACACTCCTGGAATCTCAGCAGTCGGGAGGCGGAAGCAGAAGAATCAAGAGTTCAAGGTTACCCACCCTCTGCTATGTAGCAAACATGAGCCTCGTCTGAGCCATATGAAAATCTGTCTCCAAACACAGAAGGGAGAGGAGGGAGGGAATGGGTAGGGCAAAGGAAAAGCAGAGAATGGGAAGGCAAAGCAATGACCCCCTCATCGCTCCACATTCCTTTAAATAAAGCCTAAGCTTCAAGGCTCTGCCGCCTCCTCTTCTGGAATGGTGGTAGCTGCATGCCCCTGCCGCCTCCTCTTCTGGAACGGTGGTAGCTGCATGCCCACATGCTCGCACACTGACCTGGCGGTCAGAGGCAGCAAGAAAAGGCAGGCAGTCAGCTCTACCTGAGACAGCTTCAGTAAGTGGTTCAAAGTCTTCACTTCTGAGTCCAGTTCTAGGCACAGGTGTTTTCAGAAGCACAAGCTAGGAGACTGACCTAGCACCTACCTTGTGGCTTTGACTTCATTCACACCATGTTCTAATGGTCTAACACACACACCCCTCCCTGCCTGGTGACTGGGCTAGGCAAGCAGCCAAGCCAGTGCCATCTCACGAGGAGAAACCACTCCCCTCCTTGCTTCTGTGATATCCAGTCCCCCTCCCCAACAAACCTTTCCCAACTAGGACTCTCACAACCAGACAGTGGCCAGCCTCAGCGCCGTGTCTACGAACTCCCAGGGGGCAGCACTGGTCTCCAGCAGACATGCCTGACCACCTGGATTAGCCACAGGCTGCTGCTGGCTTCTACCCAGAGCCCCTCTGCATATATCCAGCCCCTGTCCCTGTCGTCTGCCCATCAGTGAGGAGAGAACTAAAGACCTGTCATGAGCTGCACTGCACCAGGCAGTGAAAACAGAAATTGAATTGCAGAGCACCACCTGAAGCGGGAGGTGTACTAACAGTGGACAGGTAAGTAGGTGTTTCAGTGTGTCTAGACAGTCACTGAGCCAGGCTACAACACCCAGAGAAACAGATCTCACCAATTTTCACATGAAGGCAGAAACGCAGAGATCTAAATTGTGGCATATCTGAAGAGACTTATTTTTAATTTATTTCACCCAATTAAGCTATTGCAGGTTTATTCTGCACCTTATTTTGACAAGTGAATAAATTATGTAAACGTCCATATTTACAGAATAAAATTTCAATTCATCCTGAGTGTTCCTCTAAAGGTCTTGGCAGCTGCTACCTCTCCAAGGCATCCAATCCTAAGTCCAGGCCCCTTCTCTCCACTGTTCCACACCCAGCCTTACCTTTACTTCAAACTCACCTTCTGTGAGTAAATGAGGGACTTTTTCCATTGTACGCAGACACTAATGCTCCTGACCACACGGCAGGTAAGTCTTTAACTTTACAGCCCTCACAGTCTAAACCTGGTGGTGCACACCTTAAGTCCCAGCAGCTGAGAGGAGGTGGAGGCAGGAGAATCAGGAGTTCAAGGTCACAACCACATATCAAATTGAAACTCAGAATGACCTCCGGAAGACCCTGTCTCAAAACACCAGCAGAGGGGGAGAAGAAAAACCTTCATAATCTAATAAAAGAAAAGGGGGGGCATATACAGCACAGTACTTCTGAGATCACAAAAATGCTGTGCAACTGTATGAGGCAAATGGGCAGAGCGGGGGTGTTTAGTTCAGATGACCTCCTTAAGAGACAGTTCCATACTTGATGGATGGCGGAACAGTTCGCATTCCAAGCAAAACAGAACCTACAGGGCCTTTGCCATTCCTGATTTTCACTTTCATAATTCTCAGAAGACGGACAGCAACCCTCCTTACACTCAAGACGCAAATCACTCTGACATGCTCAGCACCTACTCAGGGAGAGGAGGAGAGTTTATTCAAGTATGAACAAGACACACCCTACCTTAATAGCATCTTTGGAACAATCTCACTTTGGCCAGGCATGGATGTCTATACATTTGCCAAAATATATACACACACCACGTGCAATTACTGCACCTGGACAGAAGCCCTAAGGAGAGGGAGCATGGGAGTGGATATCCTTGACATCCTCTTACTCGATACAGAATCGGGCAGGTCTGTCCTTTGTGGCACTTTTTTAATCACACCATATTATTATATAAACGAGAATTGTCTTCCTCAAGTAGAATGTAAACACCATGCAAGTAGGGGGTGTCTTGTGCTGGGGGTGTTTTCTTTCAAGACAGGGTGTCACTGTGTATATAGCTTCACCTGCCTGGATCTTTCTGCATACAGAGTCCTGAACATAAAAGCATTCTCTAGAAAGCCTTGTAGGGACTGTCTGGATCACTTCTGTAATGACAGTGTTACTCAGCAGGTGCTAGATGTATACTTGATGTAACTGAGTCAATGAACAGCCTACAGGAATCATACCACTCCTGAAGCCCTAGACTTTGACAATGAACTATGACCCCAAAAGGTGTGGAGCTCAGCAATCTGGTAAAATTATCACTGTAAAAGATTCAGTCATCCTAGGTGGCAGGTCTAAAAGTACAACCAATCCCAGAAATTAATATAGCCCCCTTCTGAAGGCCAGGAAAGAACCATTATCCACGTGGGAAAATGGATTCGTCAATGATTCCATCTAGCTATGACTTTTTTGATGCTGTGGATTTTAAGCTCACGGATCCCATCCACTTTTTATACTGTTCCACAGAATGCAATAAAGAATCCACGTTTCCTACCTGATTCTCTACTCCTTAAAGAAAAACACAGATCACTTTTAGGTGGAAAGTCTGGGGGATCTCCCAGATTAAGTCCAGGACATAAAAACGGAACTGAATGGTGCAAATCTTTGGGGTTTCCCCCCAATACATTGCAAATAACAACTTTTTCGGTGATTCATAAATTGCAACCTCTACGTACAAGTTCAGAAAGGAGCTAATGAATTTGTCCATCATGTGGGAAACCGTGGTGCTTCTGGCAATGCACAAAAACGTTTGGAACCCACCCACGTTTCGCTTTATTCGGGGTCTGTGTACTTCAACCCCACACAGCGGCGTCAGCTCTATTCAAGTAAACAAATGACAGGAAAGCTAATGCAGCTTTTCAAGATTAACGCGGATTCTCAGCAACAAGGCTGCCATCTGGACGGACACAGGTTGGAAACCGCAAGAGTTCGTTTCTCCTCGGCGAGTAGAAAATAGAGAACATTTCAACAGCACTCTTAAAAGTTTCCACCGTCACACGCCCCCTTCCAGAGCCGGGGCCCCGGGGCTCCACCTAGCCCGAGGAGTAACTCTGCCAGGACTTCCGCCCTCCGGTAGGATCGAGACCCTTCCTTCCTGCCGCAGACCCCCGCCCTACCCCGCGCTCGGCCCCACGGAAACGCAGCGGCTGCCGCGTCCCTTCCCCTGACTTCCCGGTACCAGATCCCAATACTCAGTCTCCGACCCTACCCCGAGCCTGCAGACCTCGGACCCAGTCCCCCCAGTTAGAAGTCCCCGGCTCCAGCCCCCAGCCCCCAATCCCAGTCCCCAAGTCCCCAGACCCAGTCCGCATCCCTTACCCCAACCCCGCGTCCCTGGGTCCCCCAGGCCTTAGCCGGCAGCCACAGTCCCCGAATCCCCGGTCCCCAGACCCCCGAGTTCCCCGTCCCCAGCTCCGAGTCCCGGTCGGTCCCAGCCCCAATGCCCCGGCCCCGCCTGCTGCGCCCAGCACGCCTTCCCCACGGCCACTCGGCCCCGCGCCCCGTCCGCTCGCTCTAGAGCAGGCCCGCGGGCGGCGCCTCGAAGGCGGGGACCCGCCGCCCGGGCCGCGCTGCCGCCGCACCTACCATGGTACAGATGGAGGCGAATTTGGAGACTGTCATTAGGATTTCCATCCGCCCGGCGCCATCTTCCAGACAGTCGCGGCGGGCGGGGGACGCGGGGAGCCGGGCCGCCCGCTCGCTCCGCAGCCCGCGGCCGCACCCGGAGCCGCCGTGGACCCACGCTTCTAGCCTGCTGGGCCGCCGCTGCCGTCGTCGCCGCGGGCGCTCAGGCTTCCTCCGGCCCAGCCCCCGCCCGCCCGCCGGCCCGCCCGCCCCCGGCTCCGCCCCAGCGCACGGCGCAGCCGCCGCCTCGGGGCCCGCGCCTGCCCGGGAAGCCGCTCGCCGCACACCCCGCCCAGCGCGCTGGGAGCGAGCTCCGCGCAGGCCCTTCCGCCGGGCCGACCTGGCAGCGTCGTGCCGCCCCGCCCACTCGGCGCCGTCACGCCCACCGCCGCTGGGCCACGCCCATGCTGCCCCGCCCTCCCCCGAGGGAGCGCGCTTCGAGGCCGATGGCTCCACCCAGTGCGCGTCGGGGGCGGGGCGAGACGGGCGCCGCGTCCCGCCTGCTGCTGGGTCCTAGCGCGGGCACGCAGTCGCTCCCCTAGCTGCGAGAGCGTGTCTTGGGGGGGAAAAGGGCGATGCTTTCGCTCTGCCCCTGCGGCGTCGGTGGCCTCAAGCAGCCTTCGGAGCGACTGACCCACAGCTCTCAAGGACAGCCAAGCCCCACTGTTGGAACAGAAAACGGAAGCTGTGGTCTGGGAAACTGTGAATGGGTTGGAAGGCAACCCCGCCAAAGCGTCCCAAGCACTTGGTGTTTTTCTGGGGTGAATCATCTGAGCCAAACTCCCTAAGAAAAAGAATAATTAGATAAAAAGACGAACAAAATTTGCTTAACTCTTTGAATTAACAGTAGCGGGGGAGGAGAGGAAAGGGAGCCAATCCTGCTTGCCAGTGGGATACCAACTTGGAATTTTTAAAAGGGGGTGGGGGAATGATGTCCGAAGAAGCAGCAGCCAGCTTGTGAGGAGCACATGCGCAGTGCTAGCTAGTGGATGGCTACTATTTTCTACCGGCAGAAAACTCGTAACTTTATAAATTACTACATTAGAAAGCCCGTGATTTGTTTTCATTGGTGAGGGAGGGAACCTTTTCTGACACCACACCACTCCCACCCCGTCTGTGGAACTTAGGGCCTGAATTGACACAAAGCTCTAAAATCTGGTTAAGCCTCACTTCATACAAAGCATTCAAGAAACAAAGAATTCGAACAAAATTTAGTCGAGAAACAGATTTCTGGTACATGAATGCTGTTTCCATAGCAATTCCATTGTGAACGTGGGGGGAGGGGAACACCACTGAGTTCCCCTAGCAGCTGCCTCTTCTCCAGGTGCCTACCTGCTGGAGGCGGGGTCTCCCAATTTACTACAGACGCCACGCTAGGGGCTTGGGCTCTGGTTTACACCAGTTCAGTCTGTGCAGTGTTTGCCTGCTTGCTTGGCTCTCTGGCCTCCATCAAGCATAGAGCATGTGCCTACAACATCTATATTTTAAAGGTCAGGGTGGGGGCTGGACAGATGGCTTAGTTGGTAACTTGTGTAGTGTGCTTGTGTAGTGTGTAGGCGTTCCTGGGTTTCATCCCCAGCACTTTATAAACCCTTGTATGGTAAGGTCATCCTCAACTATGTAGTGAATTCAAGGCCAGCCTGGACCACTCGAGTCCTTGTCTCAAAAAATAAGTGATCAGCTGCTGGGTGTGGTGGCACACACCTGTAATCCTAGCACAAGAGACAGAGAAAAGTGGGTCTCTGAGAGTTCAAGGACAGCCTGGTCAACATACCAAGTCTACAGGCCAGCCAGAACTTCACAGGGAGACGCTGCCTCAAAAATAAATTTAAAAAAAGAATAAATAATACATGTATGAAATTGTCAAAAATAAATTAGTAAAAATCAATTTATTAAAATGGTGAGCAAATAAAATCTTCAATCTCAGTTTGCTGCTTCAGAATCCCTGTCATATGCCAGGTGGTCTGTTGTATGCATTTTTTTAAGAATTATTATTTTTGCCGGACAGTGGTGGTGCACGCCTTTAATCCCAGCACTTGGGAGGCAGAACCAGGCGGATCTCCGTGAGTTCGAGGCCAGCCTGGGCTACAGAGTGAGTTCCAGGAAAGGCACAAAGCTACACAGAGAAACACTGTCTCGAAAAACATCATATATATATATATATATATATATAGGTTTTTTTAAAATTTGATGTATATGAGCAGTTTGTGTGCTCATATACATGCAGTACCCATGGAGGCCAGAAGAGGCCATCAGATCCCCTGGAACTGGTTACAAGTGGTTGTGAGGCACTTGTGTGCCGGGAACCATAGCCAGGTCCTCTGCAAAAGCAGAAACTGCTCTTACACAGGCTCTGTCTCTGCAGTCTGAGGTCTCTCCCTATCTTTACCTCTTGACGGTTGAATGAATCAACTTTCTTGCTTGCATTTATTTATATGGTCTAGCAGTACAACTAGTAGGTGTCAAGCAAAACAGTGATAGTCTTAGCCAGTCAGTGGTGGTGCACGCCTTTAGTCCCAGCACTTGGAAGGCAGAGGCAGGTGGATCTCTGTGAGTTCAAGGCTAGTCTGGTCTACAGAGTGAGTTCCAGCACAGAGAAACCCTGTCTCAGAAAAAAAAAATAGTAATAGTCTTAAATCAGTGTTGGGAATGGAACCTAGGACCTTATTAAGACTAGGCAAGGGTGATACCACTGAGTTACACTTCCAGTGCAATAACTTCTTAAGGCTCACTTCGAATCCAGCAAATAAAGTTGAGTTAGCCATACAGCAGGCATAGGTCTTATATAGGCTGCTCAAGATGACGTATAACCCGTAGGTCTAAAGTCATGTCGGTATTTAAACACAGATTTAAAGAAAGGGGTTGGGAGGGTAAGGTGCAGTTCAGTGGTGGAGCATATATACTTAGCAAGAGGCCTGGGGTTCAGTCCCCAGCTCAAAGATTAGTGATGGAACTTAACTGAAAGCAGAGAGTTACCAGCCTCTACTTAAAACTGAACACAGTTTCATTCATTTGTATATACATATAAAAGATTACATCAAGTTTCTGTCACAGACAGCAGGGGAAAGGCTCCCTGGCTGAGCCCTGGTGCTTGGCAGGGATTGTCTCCTCATCCCTGCAGGTCCTTCCCTGACCTCAAAAACACTCCACACCCACCACTCTCACCACACACACACACACACATACCTCACCCCACACCCCACCACCCTCACCACACACACATCTCAAGCCACACCCCACCCTACCCCCCACCTCCACTCCCATCATGCTGAGCAGAATACAGAAGCAGCTGTATTCTGCTCTCCATCCGAGAGCAGGCATTTCAGAGTCCAGGATGCATTATCTAGATACTTCTTTCTGTTTGTGACGCTATGTCTTCTGCCAGATGTTCCTGACAGCTGAGTTCACCACCACAGTAATTGATGAAGATGTCTCAGTCGATACGATGGTGCTGGAGCTGTGTGCCTGTATCCTGGTGGCCACCCTGAGAGCTCTCCTGCTTCTGCCCTCCCCTGATTCTCCATCCACGGCGTGTGTTGTTGACCCCCTGCTGCAGAACGCCTTGCCACATCCAGTAACTGCCTTACCTGTGACCTCTGGAACCTTGTTTCCCTCTTCTCCAACCTGTCCCTCATCTTCCTCGTGCCCTTTGGCTATTTCTCCGTGGAGTCAGAGGGCTTTAATGGCTCCAGAAAGGATGTCCTGGGCCAGGTCTGATGGTAGTGATGTTGGTCCTCCTCATTGCTCTTCATCAGCCACAGTAGAAAGTAACCCGGCCGGTGCGAATCGCCCTGTGACTTCTGGGGGATACTTCCTCCTCTGCCTCTGCTCCTGCATCTCCTTCCTTGAGGTCCTGCTGCTCCTGGTGTATACCCCACTAGGTCTCACCTACATGCTTCTGAGCACTGAGATACTGCTGGTCAAGCCTTGGCTACTAGCACAGCTGGACTGCTCTGCCTTTGAATGGGCAGTTCTGATCCTGAAGATCTGCCATCCCTCCTGCGGCCAGCTGCCTTCTACACAGGGCTGCTTCTTCACAGATACGCCCTGGTTCTGCAGACATAGAGGGTCCTGCTGGAGACCCAGCAGAAGGCCCAGCAACAGAACCTCCAGCCATGCTGTGCTTGCTGGCACTCTCTGTGGCCATCCATACCAGGAACTGCTCATCATGGGCCAGGTCTCTTCGTTGGGCTTTTTTTTTTTTTTTTTTTTTTTTTTTTGGCAGCAGCATCCAGATTGTATCCATCTTTTACCGACAGTGTCCTCAATGAGGCTTCTCCTACAGCTCTCCGCTCTTCTGGAGCCAGATGGCATGATGCAGATCATTAGGAAGTGTGTCTATTTCCTGGTATGAGGAACTCAGCAATTCTGTCTTCTCTGGAACTGAACAGGAGGCCTCAGATTGCTTTGACCTGCTGGATGACCTGGAAGTAGTGTGTGTGTGTGTGTGTGTGTGTGTGTGTGTGTGTGTGTGTGTGTGTGTACGCACTTGCAATTGTTGGTTCTTTTTCTACCATGTGGATTCTGGGGCGTTGAACTCAGGTTGTTAATCTTGGTGGTAAGTGCCTTTACCTGCTGAGTCATCTCACTGACCCTGCCAAGTGACTTGGGATGTTTCAACTAGCTAGGCAAAATTTCTAACAAGGCAGCCTTCCATGACCTCATCACGCAGTCTGGTGAAGACCTTCATCGTAGTCGTGAAGACAGAGATGATTCTAGGCTTTAGGCTGGACAGATTGCTATAGTCTATCTCTAGCTGCGTGCGCGCGCACACACACACACACACACACACACACACACACACACACACACATACACCTCTATTCACCCCACCCCCCCAACCCCAGTATCTAGGAAGAACTAGCAACAGTGACCTCCATCAGAGGGATCTAGAGAGAGAACTGGACACTGCCATCTGCCACCCAGGCCTAGATATGAGCCCAAGGGCGGCTGGAGCTCAGGATGTGGAACTTTTGAAAATGTGTGGCAAAGGTCAGCCCATTTTGCTTATCAGACTTACCTGTGTCCAAAGCTTGGGAAGGAACTGGGTGATTGGATCTGGCTCCCTATTTGCAGATCAGTCACTGCTGTTCTGGGCCATGCCTGAAGCCATGGTTACTGATATGGTGTGCAATAAGACAGAGTATGAATGAGAGAGATTGGCTAGGAGCAAGCTCAAGAGTCAGCTTGTGTC